CCAAAAAAATTGATTTTGTCCAGTCGTCGATTTTTAGGTGCGTCTAAGTCGTCTGATTCCAACGCCATCCCTCCCGTTGTCCTACGACATCGTTTACCCACTGCGCAACGCGTTTGAAACTTTCGGCCGCGTCGAGCGCCCCCACCTCCTCGCCCCTTCTCGCGCCACTGTGGCGCCGCGGGTACTAGTATCGATATGAAAATTTCAGGGTATGTTCCGAAGGGCTACCTTTAGACAACGGAAGGGTCGCGGCTGCGGTGGGCCGCAGCGAAACCCGTACACTGTAAAGAAATTGGCTGACTACAAATTGTGAGGGGGGTAGGGGGGGGGGATTGGTCGCAGAAAAAAACAAAAGTATCCCCATGAAGCTTGACCCGTCCCCGAACTCTTCGACCACTCTGACCACTAAGCGCACTAGATCCGTGGGTGCTAGAGACACTTTGCGATTATGGCCGGCCAAATCGCGCCGGGCGGACGTTTGGATGCAGCGCGCAGCTCAGAGATCTGGCGCGGCACGGCACGGACCGGCCGCCCAGTCCGGCGCGCTCGGCGCGCATTGGCCGGCTCGCCGGGCCGTGCCGTGCCGCGCAAGGTGGGAAAGGCGGCGCGCGGCATCAATCGGCGCGGAGCGGCTGAAATTTTCACACACGTTGCGCAGTGGGTAAACGATGTCGTAGAACAACGGGGGGGACGGCGTTGGAATCAGACGATCAATACGCACCTAATAATCGACGACTCGTCGAAATCAATTTTTTTTGAAACACCCTAATATAGGTTATGGTAAGTTATAGTACTGGAAATATTTCTGAAAGTTCATAGTGAGGAAACTAGCATAAAACACTCATGATTATCCTCAGGAAATAAAAGTATGTATTTAAATGTTGGTTCTAACTTGAAAAGAAACGATGAATTGTTGTTCTGTAGTGAAAATATGCTTGGTTTGTCAATTGTGCAAAAGGGGATAAGTCAAGTTAACTTTCACAAACCTTGGTAACAAAAGGAGTCAAGTGCACTTAACTCTTTTTGCTCTGTTGAAATTTTGAAGACTTTTGGGATAAGTCGACTTATCACTTTTTGGTACGTGATGCTAGTGTGCAAAAGGAGATAAGTTCGACTTACCTCCTTTTACAATCCCCTATATCTGTCATCCTATGGGAGATATCCCCAAACACTTGAGTGGATAGATGCAGACTGAAATTTACTACAATGTGCCATACGTAACTCAATTTGGGGGGTAAGCCACATATCCCCTTCTTCCGCTTCACAGCCCAATTCTTCCCTTGCTTGACACTGACTGGCTGACGTCAACGATGTTCTTGAACTGGCCGCAAGAGGGG